AACGTTATACCTCTTCTAGATAAAGATAACTGATCATTAGAAGCATTCATCTTAGCATTACTTTCAGCGAAATGAACCATGGTATTACAAATTGACTGAGTATGTCCAGTTATACCACATTTAAAGCATTTAGAATTACGAAATATACATGAATTACATGGGTGAAACTTGCCGCAGATCAGGCATTTACTAAACTCGTGCTCATCTTCATGGACTGTTTCACAGCTCAATGAAGTACTATCTGAATAACTTTGAATACGCATCGAACTGCGACGACTTATTGAAGAAGTGGAATTCCTGAAGTTCCGGCGAGTCATTTTATCGAATTTTCCTCTCTTACCACATTCGGAACTTGTATACTTTACATGATCCAACAGTAGTTGCTTGAGAGTTGCATAGGGGAGTGAAATCGGTTTGTCTGGAAGTGCCAAAATCTTTACAAAGCTGTATGCTTCTTTTCCGATGAATGTAAGAAAATGGGCCACAATATTAAAATTTTCATCATCTTCCTTGGTCATAGCCCAGATTTCGAACCTCTCCATGTACTCCTCAAAAGCATGAAAATCTGAATTTATATCCAACCGTTCCATCACAGGCTCAATCGCGACGCCAATATGATAATCAGAAGTATTCGAATTGTAGTATAAACTAGTAATCCCAGGAATAACGCAATTTAATCAAGAAGTACAAGTGGAGCACAAACGAATGTATTGTATTTGGAATTCAAAATTACAACAGTCATCAATACCAAGAAGTCATTGATTTATTTAAACACCACAACCGCCACAGCTCGAATTGGAGTGTAAGTGCCTGTAATCGATTGTTCGTCTTCTTCTTAAGTTCATCTTACATCGGTCCGAAAGTGTATTGGATGTAGACACTGTATTATCTAGAATGCACTCATTAGTATTAGAATTAACAACCGAAATTGGAACAGACTCACCTGGGTTCTGGAATTGTATACAATCAGCATGCCGGCTTTGTAGTGAAACCATTGATATTTAGAATTTGCATCATGGACTTTCCAACAATATCCTCCCCCACGAAATAATGTTGGGTCCTTACTTCGTAATGTTTTAGCCAATATGACGTTCCCAATTTGCATTATCTTCTCAAATCTTACGCATCGACTACTGTATATGAGTATTTGGGGATACACACTGATATATGATTTGAGGTATTCCATCATGTGACTTTGACTTGAATAAAAATCATGATACATATTCTTTTTGTTATTCATATTAGAATACACAGATGGATATGCATTGATATATGTAATTAACACATGTGATTCAACTAGGCTTGATTTACCTGCGAGACAATCGAATAGAAAACATTCATCTGCCTCATATTCATTAGGATAATCTTGAACTTGATTTGGATTCTCTGTCTGTGCAAACTTCACCTCTGGGCAAGCTGGTTCTCTGATTATTTCGGTAAATTTTGCAATCCCCTCTGATTCATTATACCCCTGACTAGGGATTTTATTCAATATACATTGTTCGTGAGAGTATCCAACATCTGATACAATAACATCAGAAATATAACTACAATTCGACTCATTCGGAACATATTTTTCACATTCATTAGGAATATCATTAGAGATAAATTGATTGTGAGGACCACTGACACTTGATATGATATCATAATTCGATCCTTCTAAAATATTTTCCTCAAATTGATTAGGAGTTTCATTAGAGAATAATGGATCATTCGAAAAATCAGCATCTACCAAAAGTGAATCCAGTTTTTGCTCATGATTCGACTCATTCAACATTTTGTTCTCAGAGTTGTAAGAAACTAAAATCAGAAGTATGTGAATTATTACGACAAACCATATCTGGTACAGTAACATGAGAAATCTGATAAGTTGGTTGGTTGGGAATTTTCGTCTCTCAATGACTCTGGGTTTCATTCAACTCTGTACTGTTATATAACGTTATACCTCTTCTAGATAAAGATAACTGATCATTAGAAGCATTCATCTTAGCATTACTTTCAGCGAAATGAACCATGGTATTACAAATTGACTGAGTATGTCCAGTTATACCACATTTAAAGCATTTAGAATTACGAAATATACATGAATTACATGGGTGAAACTTGCCGCAGATCAGGCATTTACTAAACTCGTGCTCATCTTCATGGACTGTTTCACAGCTCAATGAAGTACTATCTGAATAACTTTGAATACGCATCGAACTGCGACGACTTATTGAAGAAGTGGAATTCCTGAAGTTCCGGCGAGTCATTTTATCGAATTTTCCTCTCTTACCACATTCGGAACTTGTATACTTTACATGATCCAACAGTAGTTGCTTGAGAGTTGCATAGGGGAGTGAAATCGGTTTGTCTGGAAGTGCCAAAATCTTTACAAAGCTGTATGCTTCTTTTCCGATGAATGTAAGAAAATGGGCCACAATATTAAAATTTTCATCATCTTCCTTGGTCATAGCCCAGATTTCGAACCTCTCCATGTACTCCTCAAAAGCATGAAAATCTGAATTTATATCCAACCGTTCCATCACAGGCTCAATCGCGACGCCAATATGATAATCAGAAGTATTCGAATTGTAGTATAAACTAGTAATCCCAGGAATAACGCAATTTAATCAAGAAGTACAAGTGGAGCACAAACGAATGTATTGTATTTGGAATTCAAAATTACAACAGTCATCAATACCAAGAAGTCATTGATTTATTTAAACACCACAACCGCCACAGCTCGAATTGGAGTGTAAGTGCCTGTAATCGATTGTTCGTCTTCTTCTTAAGTTCATCTTACATCGGTCCGAAAGTGTATTGGATGTAGACACTGTATTATCTAGAATGCACTCATTAGTATTAGAATTAACAACCGAAATTGGAACAGACTCACCTGGGTTCTGGAATTGTATACAATCAGCATGCCGGCTTTGTAGTGAAACCATTGATATTTAGAATTTGCATCATGGACTTTCCAACAATATCCTCCCCCACGAAATAATGTTGGGTCCTTACTTCGTAATGTTTTAGCCAATATGACGTTCCCAATTTGCATTATCTTCTCAAATCTTACGCATCGACTACTGTATATGAGTATTTGGGGATACACACTGATATATGATTTGAGGTATTCCATCATGTGACTTTGACTTGAATAAAAATCATGATACATATTCTTTTTGTTATTCATATTAGAATACACAGATGGATATGCATTGATATATGTAATTAACACATGTGATTCAACTAGGCTTGATTTACCTGCGAGACAATCGAATAGAAAACATTCATCTGCCTCATATTCATTAGGATAATCTTGAACTTGATTTGGATTCTCTGTCTGTGCAAACTTCACCTCTGGGCAAGCTGGTTCTCTGATTATTTCGGTAAATTTTGCAATCCCCTCTGATTCATTATACCCCTGACTAGGGATTTTATTCAATATACATTGTTCGTGAGAGTATCCAACATCTGATACAATAACATCAGAAATATAACTACAATTCGACTCATTCGGAACATATTTTTCACATTCATTAGGAATATCATTAGAGATAAATTGATTGTGAGGACCACTGACACTTGATATGATATCATAATTCGATCCTTCTGAAATATTTTCCTCAAATTGATTAGGAGTTTCATTAGAGAATAATGGATCATTCGAAAAATCAGCATCTACCAAAAGTGAATCCAGTTTTTGCTCATGATTCGACTCATTCAACATTTTGTTCTCAGAGTTGTAAGAAACTAAAATCAGAAGTATGTGAATTATTACGACAAACCATATCTGGTACAGTAACATGAGAAATCTGATAAGTTGGTTGGTTGGGAATTTTCGTCTCTCAATGACTCTGGGTTTCATTCAACTCTGTACTGTTATATAACGTTATACCTCTTCTAGATAAAGATAACTGATCATTAGAAGCATTCATCTTAGCATTACTTTCAGCGAAATGAACCATGGTATTACAAATTGACTGAGTATGTCCAGTTATACCACATTTAAAGCATTTAGAATTACGAAATATACATGAATTACATGGGTGAAACTTGCCGCAGATCAGGCATTTACTAAACTCGTGCTCATCTTCATGGACTGTTTCACAGCTCAATGAAGTACTATCTGAATAACTTTGAATACGCATCGAACTGCGACGACTTATTGAAGAAGTGGAATTCCTGAAGTTCCGGCGAGTCATTTTATCGAATTTTCCTCTCTTACCACATTCGGAACTTGTATACTTTACATGATCCAACAGTAGTTGCTTGAGAGTTGCATAGGGGAGTGAAATCGGTTTGTCTGGAAGTGCCAAAATCTTTACAAAGCTGTATGCTTCTTTTCCGATGAATGTAAGAAAATGGGCCACAATATTAAAATTTTCATCATCTTCCTTGGTCATAGCCCAGATTTCGAACCTCTCCATGTACTCCTCAAAAGCATGAAAATCTGAATTTATATCCAACCGTTCCATCACAGGCTCAATCGCGACGCCAATATGATAATCAGAAGTATTCGAATTGTAGTATAAACTAGTAATCCCAGGAATAACGCAATTTAATCAAGAAGTACAAGTGGAGCACAAACGAATGTATTGTATTTGGAATTCAAAATTACAACAGTCATCAATACCAAGAAGTCATTGATTTATTTAAACACCACAACCGCCACAGCTCGAATTGGAGTGTAAGTGCCTGTAATCGATTGTTCGTCTTCTTCTTAAGTTCATCTTACATCGGTCCGAAAGTGTATTGGATGTAGACACTGTATTATCTAGAATGCACTCATTAGTATTAGAATTAACAACCGAAATTGGAACAGACTCACCTGGGTTCTGGAATTGTATACAATCAGCATGCCGGCTTTGTAGTGAAACCATTGATATTTAGAATTTGCATCATGGACTTTCCAACAATATCCTCCCCCACGAAATAATGTTGGGTCCTTACTTCGTAATGTTTTAGCCAATATGACGTTCCCAATTTGCATTATCTTCTCAAATCTTACGCATCGACTACTGTATATGAGTATTTGGGGATACACACCTTTATAAAGCAAAAATGAATCAGACAATAAACTTCTCATGATATATACATAATTTTACGAACGCATACAAAATATGGCAGTCGAGAAACGAATTGATGCATCACAACTTATGCAACTATTCATATAGTGTAAAGAACTGAAAATTCACTACCACGAAATGGTGTCGGAAGATTTAATAATTCAATTTAGAGTAAATGATCATCACACGAGTAATAAACTTTAAAAAGAATTATTATTACAAACCATAATTTGTCATCCTAAAATCCGGATTATAACCTGTTTTCGCAGCTGCTTCTTGTTCGGGAAGGAGATTCTACTTGTGAGAACATATAAAAATGCGAAAACAGGAAGGAACAAATAATGATGGAGTCCGAGTTATCACACACTCAATTATATACCAGTGACCGACTAAACGATGAAGTCTAAAGAACGCTGCGCCAGAAATGATTCTTATTCTTGTGAAACATAAATCGATCGCAGAAACCAATACTGACTTTGAATATACGTTCAGTTTTAGTTACTCAGATTGGAGAAAGTTTTTTCCATGATGAAAAAAATACCGTAAATCAAAAGATCATGCCATTTGAAATAGTAATAAGATATTATATATCAACAGTAAACATAATAATGTATGACTGGAAGTCATTACTAACTCTTTTACTGTTAAACTTTACAGGATATAATACGGGATTCACTAGCTGTAAGACAAACGAAAGAAATACTGATGAACACTTACTTGCTAACTGTAATTAGTAGGGACTTCACCATATCACCTAACACACGAGGTTGTTCCGGATGACGAGCAGCTAGACCAAATGAGCTCGCAATTACATCCCCAGAAAGTCCAAGTGCTTCATACGCACCTCCATATATATCGCGTACCAACATGTCAACATGGCGGTGGTCACCAGAATCCGCCATTTCCAGAAGCTCATCGAAAGTAAACTTCCCTGTAGTATTAAAGTCACCGAAATTACTAGCGGAACATGACAGTAACACGAGAAAAAGTTATCGCGCCCACAATGAAATTTAGATAAAACAACCAGTAGTCTTTATCATATTAACTACATATACGGGCATCTATATGTCATGACTTTAATAATATGGAAAATTTAACTGGTCAGAAAACGGTGAAAATTTTCATCAGGACATTATTGATGCCATTTAAACTCAGACTGTAAACGATGACTTTTATTTCATTAAAAAACCAGCAAAACTAAAGCTTTAATTTGAAGTGACTTAACTAACGTTTTATTGACTACTGTGAAACAGATATGCTACAAAAAGTGAAAAATACTAGTTCATGATAGTCTTACCTCCAGATAACAGCGTTCCTAAACCCCAAAAAGTGCCACCCCCAATAGACGTTCCACCAACCCTTTGATAAGACATGGGACTTTCAACTTTCAAGAAACTAACGCCAGACCCAACATTGACCAAAAGGAAAGGTAACGTACTCACCAAGCAATTTGGAACAAAGACGTGGGCTGGAGTAGCATGTTTATCATAATAAAATAACTCATCTGGGATGTTTCGAAGCATAAATACACATCCTCTTACAAGACAATCCATTTCATCTTCTTTATCCAATTCAACTCCCAACTTCGAACAAATTAGCTCACGATAGCGATAAGCACCCCCACCAGTCACCTTGATCTTATTAATTGTCTTTTTGGATAAAGCACCTTGATGTGTAATGTTAAAAAGAATGAAATCCAAACATTCTTCTATGTTCTTAGTTTCAAATTTTATGAAACATAATTTTTGTCCTTCATCTTCGTGTTCTGTGTACTCATAAAAGTCAAAAGGTATTTCATTTTCACTGACGCTTTTACGACACTGCTGGGGTACAGAACGTCTATAACGGAAAACGCGTTTGTACACTAATTTCGCAAGTGAACCACCGATGTCTAGTGCGAATATATTTTCATGAGCACCCTGATCAAACAATGGGTCAGAAAATTTTGAAATATCGACCGCTGAGGCATATGACATGGTAAATCTTAAGAAGTGGATCTGGAAGTGAAAAACACACAGATACGTCAGAAAATAAACAAAAGACGTAAGACTGATGAGATATTTGATTGATATATCATTTATTTTCTTGTGAACCCTGATATCAAAACAATACGGCAAATAACGAATCTATGGATTTGGTAAACATTTATGCTAAAATAATTATTTATCTATCTTAGTTCCAGCTGGCTTCGTAAGTGTTCATAGAATTAATTGTAAGTTTTATTAATTTAGAAAACATTATTGTCATAGAATTGATAAGTAATCAACCTTTTAAATGGAATTATGGACTCATAAGTTCGATGATTAAATCAGTCATTCAGCTACAACGTAGGACCAGGCACGTATATGCGTTGCTCCAAGTTGCCATACCTCATTAGCACAAGATGAACACCATATTCACAGTAGTTAGTTCAATGGTAGTAATATATCAAAGAACATCGCGTATAATGGTATAAATACAGGAAAGAATTACGGCAATGCTTATCTATTACGACAGACCAGTTCTTCTTACAAACTATGGTTTAACTACTTTGGAACTGCGTTCACTTTACGAAGTGAACTAAGTGGAACAGATGCGCAGTAACTTTCGGGTACTTGTTATCAAGTCGACTGACGTTTTTGTACAATTGGTGATTTTCCGAAGGCAGTATTGGGGATAACCCGAAATCGTTCAGGATGTAGTTAAAATGCGAAAGAAAACATTGGGGTTTGATCAAAAGACGTACATTAGTCTCCCAAAATTTGTAGAAAATTCTGGGAGTTTTGAAATATTTTCCCAAAATCTTTTATGACGGCTACCCAAATTTTCTTAAAAATAGGGAGATCGTGCATTAACAATATTTCGAAGTCGTGCTGCCACTCGACACAAGTGGACGGGGTAAATGGAATTCACAAAAAAGCGACTACTTTTAATGAAGTTCAAATTCTCTTTGACTGTATTTCGGACGCCTAACTTAATACAATAGTAGAGCTCAGTAACGTGCAATCTTAACGAACACTCAAAAGTTCTGCCGGCTTCAAATACTTGCCAGGACTTTTTTTATAACCTTGAACTTGTCAAGGTGATGAGCTGAAACTTCTAGAGATTGTGTAATGAGATACAAAGATGTTGTGTTTTCAATACATTAGGAATATACAGATGTATCCATGCATAAGTACGTGGTTTTATTGGATGAGCTACAAACAACCTCCAATCATCAAGAACCGCACTCGTCGTTTGCTAAGCCACAAGAGGCACTGTTGGGCTGAATATAAACGAACTGATAACAACAGCGCGTACAGGCAATACAAACATATAAGGAACATATACACAAAGGCAATAAGAGAAGACAGGCTTCAGTTCCAGACCAAGCTTATCGATAAATTTGTCTCCGATCCGAAAAGCTTATTCAGTTACGCAGCTTCTCTTCGACAAGGCAAAACTGGAGTTTCTCAACTGCTTGGTCCTAATGGCCCGACCAATAACGACAGTGATGCCGCTAACCTTTTGGCTGAACAATACTCTCAGACATTTCAGCTGACCCACATCAACGATACTGACGAAAGCACCTGTACAGGACTTTCCGAAGTGGACCTGAGTGCTGACCTGGTGCTCCGTAAACTGCAACACCTAAAAAAAGACACTTCTCCTGGTCCGGATATGGTTCATTCCGCTGTATTGAGGGAAGGAACTTCAATCCTGGCGACACCACTTAGCGTGATGTTTGCACACTCGCTAAGAGAAGAAAACTACCGGAAATATGGAAGCTGGCCCACATCATACCAATTTTCAAAGGAGGTCGACGCAGTGAACCCTCAAGGGTATAAAACCCCCTTTGATTGATTGGCTCTCTTCATATTTAGAAAACCGACACTTTAAGGTCAGGGTTAACTTCACTCTCTCTCAGACTATGGAATGTCCTAGTGGGGTTCCCCATGGCTCAATACTAGGACCTCTTCTCTTCTTGATTTATATTAACGATCTTCCTCAACAAGTTTCATCTGACTTATTGCTTTTTGCTGATGATGTGAAACGTTGGAGAGAGATACGTAATCATAATGATATACTAGTTCTTCAGGAGGATCTGACCCGGCTTCAAAGTTGGGCGAACGACAACGGTTTTACCTTCAACACTTCAAAGTGCAAGGCAGTCCATCTGAGACATGTCGCAAACTATAGTTATAACTTAGGTAACTCCCCTCTAGAAGTTTCCCAAGTTGAAAAAGATTTAGGAGTATTGGTACCCTATGACCTGAAATCGTATGCGAACTGTGACAAAAACGCCTCTCAAGCAAACCTTGCACTGGTAACATTGAAGCGCATTTTTGGCCAGTTTGACGGTAGAACCTTCCACCTAATCTTCAACAGTTTTATTCGTCCCCATTTAGAGTACGGAAACATAGTATTTCCTCCCTCCCTCCAAAAGGATAAGAACACTCTGGAACGTATCCAACGTCGAGCCACGAAATCAGTTCGGGGTCTCAAATTCAAACCTTATGAAGAGCGCCTCAAATCACTTAACCTTTACCCGTTAGAGTACAGGAGTCTTAGAGGTGATCTTCTTATTTCATACAGTATCCTTAACACTTCTGGTCATCCCCTTAAACATCTTCTTAAGCTTAGTCATAACACTAACCTGAGAGGTAACACCCAGAAATTGGAGACCCTACATAGCAGAACAGACTGCAGACACAACTTCTACTCCGTTAGAGTTGCCAAGTGCTGGAATTCGTTGCCGACTGAGCTAGTCCAAGCTACCTCCCAGGAGTCCTTTAAGAGGAAACTTGACTTATTCTTAAGGACTAAGGATAACATATTATTAAGATTTACCAAATTCTTTTTTTCCTCTATTATCGTTCATATACCTAGGTTTTTGCCTGGAGGTATTGGTTATCCACTGCTACCAAACACGGAAGCCCGTTAAGCGAAAGCTTCTTCTATTCCGTCCTCAACTATTTCAACCATTTGAACCAATTGAATCTGCTAGCACCAAATAGTAGGAATCATGAAACTAATGATGCCATGCACATTCAGATTCTGACAACGCTTTACACGTACCACATTTATGATAGAAAATATACCAACCCATTCAAATCAGGATTCGGAAGTGTGAAGGTTCGAATACATATTTGGAAGGCTATTTATATATTGGGAAGCGTTTAATATAAGCTGGGATGTGTAGAGTAATGTATCCACTCGTTATCTGGTGCGGATGCGTGACTGAGAGCCTCCATGTACTTGTTTCCAGTAAAACTGATGAGGTCAGAATGCTCGTCGAAAACTCACAGAACTACTTATTTGGAAGACTTAATTACCGATACAAAACTATGGAAGTTGAAGACAGGAAGCAAGATGGATCGACACAATCCTCAATGATGTCGAAACTTCTTCAGCATAGCAATCAACGGTATGGATCTTATATTTGTCGCCATTGTTTAGTTGTGGTTAAAGAGTCTTCACATAAAGTATAGTGACAAGAAACAATTTGTAGTGATGTGTCAAGTGGATAATTTGATACGACTAACAAACGGAAAGTTGAGGTAGGAGGTGAGCTGTCCGTTCTAAAAATTTGAAGTTGTTGCAAAATACTTTACAGTGTTTTAAAACGCTAATGAAGAAACGTAATGAACATTAATTAAAAGAGATAGTAGTATTTTTCTCCGTTGAGTTGATTTTTATTGTCCTGGTAGTTTATTACGCTTTAAGACTTATGATAATCAGAAGTATTCGAATTGTAGTATAAACTAGTAATCCCAGGAATAACGCAATTTAATCAAGAAGTACAAGTGGAGCACAAACGAATGTATTGTATTTGGAATTCAAAATTACAACAGTCATCAATACCAAGAAGTCATTGATTTATTTAAACACCACAACCGCCACAGCTCGAATTGGAGTGTAAGTGCCTGTAATCGATTGTTCGTCTTCTTCTTAAGTTCATCTTACATCGGTCCGAAAGTGTATTGGATGTAGACACTGTATTATCTAGAATGCACTCATTAGTATTAGAATTAACAACCGAAATTGGAACAGACTCACCTGGGTTCTGGAATTGTATACAATCAGCATGCCGGCTTTGTAGTGAAACCATTGATATTTAGAATTTGCATCATGGACTTTCCAACAATATCCTCCCCCACGAAATAATGTTGGGTCCTTACTTCGTAATGTTTTAGCCAATATGACGTTCCCAATTTGCATTATCTTCTCAAATCTTACGCATCGACTACTGTATATGAGTATTTGGGGATACACACTGATATATGATTTGAGGTATTCCATCATGTGACTTTGACTTGAATAAAAATCATGATACATATTCTTTTTGTTATTCATATTAGAATACACAGATGGATATGCATTGATATATGTAATTAACACATGTGATTCAACTAGGCTTGATTTACCTGCGAGACAATCGAATAGAAAACATTCATCTGCCTCATATTCATTAGGATAATCTTGAACTTGATTTAGATTCTCTGTCTGTGCAAACTTCACCTCTGGGCAAGCTGGTTCTCTGATTATTTCGGTAAATTTTGCAATCCCCTCTGATTCATTATACCCCTGACTAGGGATTTTATTCAATATACATTGTTCGTGAGAGTATCCAACATCTGATACAATAACATCAGAAATATAACTACAATTCGACTCATTCGGAACATATTTTTCACATTCATTAGGAATATCATTAGAGATAAATTGATTGTGAGGACCACTGACACTTGATATGATATCATAATTCGATCCTTCTAAAAAATTTTCCTCAAATTGATTAGGAGTTTCATTAGAGAATAATGGATCATTCGAAAAATCAGCATCTACCAAAAGTGAATCCAGTTTTTGCTCATGATTCGACTCATTCAACATTTTGTTCTCAGAGTTGTAAGAAACTAAAATCAGAAGTATGTGAATTATTACGACAAACCATATCTGGTACAGTAACATGAGAAATCTGATAAGTTGGTTGGTTGGGAATTTTCGTCTCTCAATG